TTTTTTTCTTTGTTGGTTGCTGGTTTTACCAGACTTGAGTGTTCGACTTTTGTTGCGATCTCTGTCCACGTCTATGCCTGTGAGCATACATACGGATTTGGATCATTTGTATAGATAGTTGCCTGAGGACCGGACTACAAGTCAGCCACTCTGATGCGAGTACAGAATACGATGACCTTGCTACCTCAATTGTGATCTTGCATGTAGAAGTCGTACTTTATCCTACCTTCAACATGGTATCTCTACTACTCAAATGTTAAACCCCATCAACCACACCAATAAAGCCACCCAACAGCCAACCCTTGGCACCCTGAAAGACCCTTGGAAGAATCATGCGTTTGGTCATTAGTTCTTGGCATTGAAAGCCGCCTCATTAACCGAGGATGATTGACGCTAAAACCCCTCCAAATCGGGCCGTCAGAAAAGAAAGGAAATGAACGCCTCACGGTCAAATCATTCCATATCAGCCCAGTGGAACACGGACTGTGGCTTTCGGGCCACAAAAAGTCAACAAAACACCGTCGCCGGGGCCCAGGAACCTGGTAGACCACGGCCGTTGAGCACGAGGTCAATATGGTTTGGACATTGAAGATCCGGAGCTTCCATGGACTGCTACTTCGGATTCGGGTTGATCTATATAAGAGCTCTGATTGGAGGGACCGCTCCCGTGCTGTCACCCAACCAATGGCCAGGTGGCTTTCGGGCTCGGGAGTCTTCCCTTGGGTCGAAATTTCGGCGGTATTCCAGATCGAGACATTGAGTTTCCAGATCGGGCATACACCCACTTCTAGATCGAATGGTGCATCCATATATGCTTCGATTTTTTCATCCTTCTTTTCTTGCTTCTTTTTGGAATGTACCTTTATGCTTGCTAAGCCTAATATCGGTTTACAGGGCAGATATATCATTTTCTCTTTCCGTTGTGATCTTCTCCATACGATGTAGTTGGATCCATTTCGATATCGTATCCATGGATGGATGCCCTAGGTCTAGAAAACTGGCCAGATCTGGAAAAACATCTTAGTTTTATTTCCGTATTTGATATTCTCCCTTCTTTTCTCAGGCAATAGGTCGTGTTATGTCCATATCATGTAGAATGTCAGACCATGAGTATCTGAACCCTATGTACAGACCTCGGAGTAAAAACGTATAGTAATGAGATCACGGCCTCTAATAGGCCTTTCGATAAGACATCTTTTCTGTTTCGTAAGAGAAATTCAATCCCGAGTTTACAACGAGGTTGCCGAACACTGGGTTCCAAACTATATCGTACATCGTGTATATGTAGGATAATGCCCGCCACTTGCGGCCTCCCGGCTTTCCCTTTCTGTTTCTTTTTTGCTTACCTGTTGCCGCTTTTTCATCACTGAAAAGTGCGGCTGGTTTCTGGTTTCGTGTCCTTAACAGATATAAAGATTCTCTGTCTTATCTAGAATGGAAAGAAGAGAGAACCATATTGCACTTGCGTGAAGTAAATTTTAGGAGCCATAACTCCACAGTAGTCAGCGTTGCAAGTATGTAACTTCCTGATTTTCGGTTGGTCTCGCTAAGCGACTGAAGAAGTATTGGTAGAGCCGAAGGGTTAAATTCCTGTACTATATTTCTACGAAGGCTAGTGCTAAAGGCTTCCGATTTTTAGGAGACTCGAGTTATCTTTGAGTATAGCTTTATATATGGCATTATGAGCCTTTATTTCTCACCCTGTACCGGTGGACACCTTTTTGATAGCGCGGCTAAATACTCTTGAGGTACTGATTGGAGAACCCCTTAGGTGACGTGCTGTACAATGCACGGCATGATGATCTGAGCGCTTACCATTCAAAGAGATATAGATGCAGGTGTCGAAAATCACTTCCACTGGAAGATATGTAATCCCATTTTGTCCGAAATTGTTGCCTTACGCCACCAAAATGTTGTTGTGGTGGGGTGGAGGCTTACGACCGGAGTTAAGGGTAAGGATTAACTTCGGTGATGACTAGTAGATTAACTTCGGTGATGACTAGTAGAGAAAATGAGAAACAGAGTGGAGGTGCACGGCAGCCGGAATATGCCTACTTGTCATGTATATCGGACGATAGTACTTGTTCAACTTGGTGAATCTTCATTGGCACTCAACAAAGATCAAATATAGCAGAGTTATCACCATACATCACACAATCTTAGCATTTCAACCTACTTCTACTTGGATTTCTAAGTATTTTGATACACTCGTCGACAAGCAATATGATGTCATAATCCGCTAGTTCCTTAGCAGCGGGGCCAAAATAAATTATTTCACTCTTCTTTTCCCTATATGGGTCGTCCCGTTACGTGGCCGCTCCTTCGGTATAGAGGTTCTGGTAACATAACGCACATTTGCTAGGTATCTTGTATGTATCAATGTATGTATCAATGTATGTATCAATGTATGTATCAATGTATGTATCTGTATAAACTAGTATTTTTCGGTTGGTAGCCGAAGTGGCATCTCATACAACATTGGAATTGTTTGCCACTCTACCTGATGTCCTTGATTGGATTGCTTTTTTCTCTTTTTCTTTTTCTCTTTTGCCGGAGTGAGATATCAACCGGCTGGGACTCCGGTCGGAATTTGCCGCTTTTTATAGTGGGTATTTAGATTGGCTGGGCATCGCTTATGGGGAACGTACTTTGCGTTTACATGTTGCACTTAATTTGAATGTCATCATTCTCATAGTCAACCTTGGCATTGTGCTTGTACGGTTTAAATGGTACCTACCTACATATATGTAGGTATCTATGGTTGCTCATGTCGTGATTACGTCGTTACAATTTCACCTGATAAAATTATGCCCTAAGTCGTGTCACCATTGCCCCTGACCTGATAGTATAGCATAGATCATCCTCCGGGCTGATATCCATAGGTAGGGCTGCGCTTAAGTTAAAATAGAACCCAGTTGTACACTTGTTGATAATCATAACTTTTGGGGGCTCAAATGGTATCCCACTTCGGCGCTTGACCTTCTGGCGGTGTTTGACCTAAATTTAGGTTGTCATGCCAATGATAATCGCTCTTTAAAGATATTCAAAGCTAACACCCTTGCAATGTTTTGCTACTTTGTCTTATATTCAGACCTAGTTTAGGACCTCTATGGCCTGACCATAATAGAAATAGAGCCATGCCTGTTTTCCTTTGTAGTCTTGTTGATGTGGCACATAGACCGTTGTCTGTGATACCCCAGTCTCTTGATAGAGAGAGTTCTTTCTTCCGAAAGTCCTAGGGGGCTGGTTTTGAGCTGATCTATATGCTAAAGCTGGACGTGGAGTCTTTCTTACAGCCCATGGCATAATTCTACCGAACGAAACCCCCCGATGTTAGGCAAAAGGCCTTTTCCGTTCGTATCCCAGTCAACTAGATTTAGACTGTCTCACTCAGGTTGTACACCTACGGTTGCTGGTGCATCCAGTTTAAGGTTCTATTCGAGTCACACTAAATTATACCCCAGAGAGTCCCCATCAAGTACCCCCCCCCCCCCCCCCCCCCCCCCC